AGGACTGTAAACTGTATCATTTAATTATACGAAGTGTATATAAATATAAGGTCGCCTTATTGCGAAAACTTTTTTCATTAATTTGTATGCTTATAAACAAACAATAACAACTGAATAACGGGATGGTAAGAAAATCAAAAGTAAATCTGAAATATTAAGGGTAACTTAAGTAAATATCCTAACATGTATCAAAAATGGTTTCGTTTCTTTATGGTACTTTCACCTAATGATTTTATGTTTAGTCAAGCCATAAGCGTAGACCCAAATCAGTTTATAAAGCTTTAAAGTTAGGCATTTTGAACATAAAGTTCGAGTCACACGCACAGACCCAAACCTGGTTATAAAGCTATAAAGTTAGTATTTTTAAACCGTTGAATAAGGACATTTTTTTTTGTTTAAACTAAAAACCAGATAAAGCTTTTAAATTTCCATAAAAGGCATACTTAAGCTGCTCGTAGAATATAAATATATCGTAATAGTGAGAAAGGTGTCGGACTTTAGTCGACCTTTCCCTCTGAACAAGCGTCTCTTGCTGGATCTAGTCATCAAAACTAACAAGCTGCTCGAGCAGTGTCTTTCTGTGTGGTTGTAACTGGTGCTACACCACTGGAATTAAATACAATCTCGTGATATGAAATTAAACTCCGTTCTGGTGAAAGAGCCATGACCGATTGCCATATGATCTGTTAAACATTGTGTGTAGTAACCTAAAAATGTTATTGTGTTGTAGCTACACACACACACAAAAACAAATAAATTATATTAGAAGTTTGTTGGAAGCCACATTTCACCGCAAGGGGTCAGTAATAATTCCTCAAACGTCACATGTAGGTGGAGCTCTTAGTTTATTCGAGTTTCCAATCAACAGCTAATGTTTACTCAACTAAGGAAGGAAGCTCCGATTGAAAACGATGAAGATAACCCGGATTAAACCTCTTTTAACCGGTTTAGTACATGGTGGATTTCATTTTGTAATCCCCAGACGATATTTATTCTATCAAGGAGAACACTGACAACGAAAGGATTAAATCCAATCGCTAGAATACACTTATAAATATATATTTGATAGTTGTTTTCATGAAGAAATGATAAAGACCTTGCTTGTATTATACACAGATAAAATAGTTCTTCACAATAACAACCTCTGGGAAGACGGATGACTGTCCGATGGAGATTGAGCCAATTTGTATTCACGGTCAGCTCTACGTAGCTCTGTCCAGGGAATGGTCATTTGATCGGTTAAACATTTATGTCCTTGAATATTGTAAAGGTTGTTGACCACAACTCTCTGTATTTTGACATATTATACTAATACAATAATAATGTAAAGGTTGTTTACAAACAACTTTTCTGATGTGAATTCAATAGGTTTTAGTGTTAGACCACAACTCTCTGTATTTTGTCGAATTTCGACATGTTTACTAATACAATAACACATGGCAGAATAAAAGAAAAATTATATGACAAACAGAATCGTCATTTAAGCCACAATAAGAAAGAACTTGAGATTCTTAAATGATTGAAACTTACCATGAAACTAGACTCTGATATATCGTATTAAGAATTACGTAAGAGCTGACAACACGTGAACTTTGTACCTTCAAAGTATTAGTCGCTGTATATCGGAAATGGCATTGCTTTACTGATGATCCCAAAGAAAATGTACTGTATCTATCCTAACCACGCTGACGTGGATGTTAGAATAAATCTTACTCGTTATGAGATAAACCAGTGTTTGTTTGTTTACTCTTTTTACGAATGGGCAATTAAAAAGTAAAAAGAAAACTTTCAGGAAGGAAACCAGTAAACCATGCCAAACAGATAAACTATCATGATTAAATTAAATACTGACGGTTGCTCTAGATAATTTGAAGGACTGCTGTTGTAAGCTTGAACAACATCCAATGCGACGCGTGTGCTAAACGTCGAAGTAAGAGACCCCTAAAGTTGAGGCAGAACGATCCCTAATTTGGAACTGCTGACCAGATAGATGGCAAACAGCAACGACGTAGCTGGATGGGCTCAAGCCCCTGCTTTCCAGCTCTTGTGCCTTCAAGATGCTATTTTTTCTTTGTCATGAAATTTTTCAAAACTACGAAATGATACACCTGATTCTGTACCTTTCTAGCTGTGAGTTATTAGAACATAGAAATATTTCAACGTTAAAATTAATTAACTAATTAATTAATTAATTAACTCAGGGACTTGTAGGTCTTTATTTATAAAAATCATTTGTTAAATCATTATTTGTTTAATAGACCATAAAAGTGTTTATAAGACCGACTGAATAGGAATAAAAGGGCTTATTTTTCCTCCTTATGACTTTCCACCATATGTGTACCAGAGGTAACCGAAAATCGGCATAGTTTCCTCTAACATCCCCCCCCCCCTCAACAATAAATCATTTCTAAAGGTTTTTATGTCAATCTCATTATTATTTTTTCAGAGTTGGTTTTAATTAATTAAAATGTAAGGTATACATTGAAGCGTATAAGTTTAGTGTTACTATTTGTCGTTTACATATTTTTCTATAATCTATAAAATCAAATTTTCTATTACTTAAATTGCAGTGTTCCCTAAGTCAGACATGGCTTTGTGGATAACATGCGAAAATGTGAATCACAGAATCCTCGGTTCACTTCTCCTTGCTGCAGAATTGCCCTTCGAAGTTCGGGGCCATGGGTGCTTTATAAGGGTAAAGGTCAAATCCCACTATTCCACTATTGGCGGTGGATGTTGTTAATTAACTGCTCTCCCGCTATTATGTCAGTTTCAAAATTAGATATGGCTAGCACAGACAGTCATTGTGTACTTTGCGCGAATTTCCGAAACAAATAAACAAACTTAGCATTGGGCCCCCATGTCGTTTCTCACAATAACAATTCTTTGAAGAAATAAGAGCAGGCGTGGCCTACTGGTTAACATGCTAGATTGTGGATCAAGAGATCGATGTTTCAAGCTGCAATATGTCGTAAGCCACGATCCGCCCACACTTTTAAGCTGAGTGAGAGTTATAACTTTGGTAATCCATCATGTTATTAAGTTAAGCCTTTAAACACTCTCAGAATTTTTGCTAAGAGTAAGCATATAATAAGCACAGATGTGGCTGTTTCCCAGTAATGTGCAGAGGACATTGAAAGTGTGAAGACTCAACGACAAAAAGGGCACTTTTAAAGCATCGTAAGGAGAGCATTTTTAATAAATATAATTTTTTTGTTGTAAACTTACTTATTTAGGATTATTAAGTTGCGTATTAAATAATATAAATCACACATTAAGTATCATAAGATTACATAAACAATGATAAGAACTTTTAATATATACATTGAAATAAGTCCTTGTACAGTTGTTATTGCTGCACAGGAAATAATAACGAATACATCTCAGCTTCTTGATCTCGTCACATACTGGCGACTATACAGGAGAAAGCTCAATGTGTGCACTTTATACACCTAAAGACTGAACCTGTTGTATAGGACTTTGTGTACCATTGATGGCGGTAGCTGGAGTTCACTTGAAGCACAACGAATAGACTTTCTAGGGCTGTGTTGGAAAGTCTCCTGGACATTAGCAATGGTTTCTTCAGAAACACCTGGACGTCCATTTCGAGGCAGGTCAGTCACATTTCCTGTCTCCCGAAACTTGTGAGACCACCTCCTAATGGTGGGTTTGTAGGGAGAATCCTTGACATATTGACGGTGGTAGTTTCGTTGAACAGTTGTCACTGATGTGGACAAACCAGATGAGACATTGAGCTTTCTCATGTGTAGCCGCCATCTTCGTTCAAACTTCAACAACAAGGTGCTAAAAACTGCATAATTCTAGCTCATTTGGTTTTGTTGTAATAAACTTTTAAAACCGGAACAGTACTTTGTGGACACCCTGTACATCAAATATGAGAAACAGGAAATGACGTACAAGAAACTGACTATAATCAGAAAAAAGATTTAAAAAATCTGTTAGGAAATCCGTCCGTAGAACCTGATCATTTGTGTCAAGTTTGGTCCCACTAGCTTATGAGTGGGAGTATGAACACAGTTTCAAATATGACGTAACTGGGATACCAAAGGAGAAACACAAATTCCGATGCTAGATTCAAGTGACCACCTACTCCTTTACTCCAGATAGATAAAGACATCCCCCGGGCCACACGAAGTGCGCCTGCTAAGCCGTGGAGGCGTTCACGGACAAATAAGTTCACAAACACGAAATGTAAAGTAATCTAGAATTACCTACTTTGCATCCACTCTGTCCACCGCGGGGAATCGAACCCCATATCTGTTCACATTGGAAATCCATATGGGAGACTTATTTTAAAAACAAGTGTAATTTGCAAGTCAGCAAATTATTTTTCCCGTTTTTGTTATATCCTAATAATTTTCTTCAAAGTTTGTTCAACTACATGAAATGCACGTGGTGTTCGAACATAAGAAATGCACGTGGTTACATTCAACTGTTACTACTCAAAGAAGAATAAAACGGTGTCACTTGAGACGACAAATGACGTCTGTTATAAATTCCAACTCTATTATGACTGTTAACAGAAGACAGTTTCTTACGTAAAACTGAACTGTCAGACAGCTGTCAATTTTGTCTAACAACATTTCGAGGAAAAAAAAGGTTCTTTTAGGCTCAGACGAACAAAATGAAAACACAGTTATTTCAATGCACTGTCGGGACCCGTTCTGGGTGGAGGTTCGTTGAAATATAACTTTTGTTACGGGCTTTCCACGTGAATTCAAGCTGATTACTTAGCAACACCGTAAGTTAAAATAATGGTTCTCTTCCCTGGGTCATCCATAGCATTGACGGGTTAATGTGTTGGGCTGCGTGTCGAAAGGACTCTGGTTGGAAGCGAGATGCTACTGAAGACATTCCGTGTTATAAGAGTGAGTGTCAATCCCGTCACTCGATTCCAGAAGCCACGCTAAGCCCTTATGGCGGCGAGTACTGGTCAGTAATTCGAAATTAGGGAGAACTATTACTGATCGCTTAGCCCACGTGAGCATAAAATGCCTTTCAGATGGAAAACCACAAAATCTTTCTCATTTCCTCTCATTCTGTAAATAAGAGTCTTAATTTTTTGTGTAAGTCAGCAGCCAGATTTACTTGGGTGAGTAGAAATGTGTTTACTCCTTACCACACCAGTTCCTTTTCAACTTTTGCTTATTCCTCACTGAAACAATTTTACTTGGGTGATTTGTTTTATTCCTAATCACATGAAGTTCTCTTGGGTAAGAAAAGAAAAAATATTCATTAGCAAATCATTTTTCCTTAGTTGAACAAAATTATGTTTGTTCATTACTCCACTAATTTTACCCGAGTAAGTAAAATTATATTCAATTCATTTAGACACCAATTTTATTTGGGTGAGAAATTTTCTATTTATTCCGTTTTCCCATCAATTTCACTATGGTGAGCGAAATTCTGTTAATCCATTGACACGCCATTTTTTGTTGTTGTTGTTGAGTAAAATAGTCTGTGGACGAGCAACTAAAATATACAGAGAACTTATTGTGTTGTAAAAGGTCAAGTTTGACACTACTAACATATAAATCTTCCACATCATTCACCGCCTCCCCCCCTTCCAGCGTACTGATCAAGCTCCTGTCCTCCCAAGATAGTTCTATAGTTACCCCAAGAGAGTTATTACCCGATGGGAAAAAAAATTAAAACACACCTATTCCTTACCACACCAGATTTACTTGAATGGCTAAAAACATAACTATTCCTTACCACACCAGATTTACTTGAATGGCTAAAAACATACCTATTCCTTACCACACCAGATTTACTTGAATGGCTAAAAACATAACTATTCCTTACCACACCAGATTTACTTGAATGGCTAAAAACATACCTATTCCTTATCACACCAGATTTACTTGAATGGCTAAAAATGTACCTATTCCTTACCACACCAGATTTACTTGAATGGCTGAAAATGTACATATTCCTTACCACACCAGATTTACTTGAATGGCTTAAAATGTACATATTCCTTACCACACCAGATTTACTCGGGTGAATAGAAATTTGTTTATTCCTTATCACACCAGTTTCATTTGGGTGAGTAAAAGTTTACATATTCCTTACCACAGCTCGTGTACAGTGCAGGTAGAATTTTTGTGTATAAAATGTACGAAGTTGTAATCGGTACATAATTTGTTACAGTGGAACTTGGTGTGTGAATACGACAGTTTACCGAGCCTAGTCCTAACTTTATCAAGTGTTGGCTCTGTGGTGGGTGCTCTAATATTTGGTGCAATCGCTGACAAGTAAGTTAATCTCCTCACCTATTATTTTAACTGTTAGGTGTTCTTTATTTTAATCTCTCATGTTTATTTTCTTCTCTAGATTGTTTACTCCAGATTAATGTTGGTGAACAAAAACATACCTATTCCTTACCACACCAGATTTACTTGAATGGCTAAAAACATACCTATTCCTTACCACACCAGATTTACTTGAATGGCAAGAGTTGGTGGTGAAGTAAATGGTGTTAACTAGCTATTTGCCTTTCCTCTAGTCTATCACTTCTAAATTACAGACGACTAGCGCCAATAGACCGCGAGTGGCTTTGAACGAAATCAAATAAACAAAGCACAATCCAAGCTATCTTCAGTGTCTCAGCGGTAAATCTGCGGGCTTACGTCGCTTAAAATCGGGTTTCGCTACCCGTGATGAGCACGGTACAGATAACCTATTGTGTAGCTTTGTGCTTAACTACAACCAAATAAACAAACCTTACTCATTTTGATATAACAAAGTCTAGGGTAGTTAACAAAAACAACGTATCTGAAAAATATATTTAATTTGTGTAAAGTTTTTTTAATTTAATTTCTTTGTAAGAAAAAAGATAATTTGAAATACATAAACATTAATGTACATTATTTTTATTCCAGTGTTTTAACTGATGGGATACTCTTTACTAACGAATAGTGGAATTAACCGTCGCAATGTAACACCCCTACGGTTGATAGGGTGAGCATGTTTGATGACGGGATTCGAATCCGTGACCACCAGGCCTTAGATGTGTAAGAGGGAAGCAATTTATTAAATTAAAATAACAAATATTTTAAGTTTTCGAATTCAAATCTTTTAATCAGTGAATTTCTTGCTATCAAGAAGGTTATAAAATCAACCTTAATTTATTTACAGTGTTACCGACACGCTTTTCCTTAGAACTGTCGATATGATCTTCATATAGACCACGTGGTATATTTTTTTAATATTATCATGCACCAAGCTGTTTGCGAGTCCACGACTACGGTAATTACATGGTCCGTAAGAAATACAAGTCACATTATCGAGTTAAACAAAAACTACCGCCAATACTGCAGTTAACCCCAGAAATTAGTGTGAGGTTTTATGTGTGTTTTAAGCCGACAATTGATGAATTTAACCTTAACTTTCTAGCTACTGCTTTACCCTGAATGGTTTAACAGGTTAAAACAAAAGAGTTAAAACAATACGATTCAGTATGTGGACCACACCAATAGTGTATAGAATATAAACAAATTGAGAGTTATTCAGAATTATAAGTTAAGCCTTACGTCAGTGTACCGTGATAAGATGTTATCCAATAAGTTTATGATCAGATTGTCTTACCCTTGTGGCAGCGGTCTGTTGATAAAGAGTACGGTCGTATATCCATCCGTTTTGGCAGGACTGGACAGGTTGGTCCGAATGAAGTTCAGGAAGGACAGCTGATCCGTTGAACCACGTGATGTTACGAAGGATGGCTGCGTAGTTCAAGTTATACATCGTACATTTGCTGTATTGTTCTTCTCCATTTCTTGTGACTTTCGGGATACTTAACACCTTCTGCTCTTCGATGGTCAAGTTGGTTTCTTCAAATTCCGGGACGAGACACCAGTGATTTGGAACGGCGACTAAGAATATGACATTCATTACGTAAAAGGCAGTTGCGAATGTCGTAGGGGCCATAAAATATAATAAAAGAGACTTTTGGTAGGGACCAAAGTCACCGACCTCTGAGAGAATGTCTTCGAATTCCATAGTTTTCTTTTCACTTTCTAAAAGTACAAGCTCGCGAGATTAGCTAGTCAGAGAAACACTGTTGCTATAGAGGAATGACTTACGTAATATTCAGTTAGAATATCCAGAAGAAGTAAGTCGTGAGAGTTATTATATACTTTATTTGGATACCGCTACGGGAGATTTCACAATATTATCACGGCTAGTCGATCCCCAAACTGGTAACAGCCGGTATTCCATCGTATGAATGAATCCATATAACATCCTTCCTTTTTTGTTCCCTCACATTCCTCTTGATCAGCTGATCATGTTGACTTATGACCGTTCGCACCGGCTAGGGGCGGTTTGCTGGTGAAGAGCTCTTGTTCACTCAATTATTAATATATATATTTAAGTTACAATGATGAAGCAACATATGTGAATATAGAACGTACGAAACTAGAATATTAAACCCAACATTCTCTAAAGAAAAACAACAACAAAATTTTACATCGTTTGCTGTCGTAAATTGTTTATCATATTGCAGACATAGGATGTTGCATATTTTTTTATTTTTACAGCGGCTATTTGTGGGGTGATTCAGCGGTAGCTTGAAGGATTATAACGCTAAAATTCAGGGTTCGATCTCTGCGGTGGAATCATTATAAGCCATTGTGTTGTTTTGTGCTTGAAAAGCTAAATCCACACGGGTATATGATGTAGGTGAGATAGCGAATGTTGTGCAAATATTTTAATACATACGAAAACTGATATTCAGTTTCATATTTACCACCACCACACACACATAGAAACCGATATTTTATTTGTTTACAAACTCATTTTTACTAAGGCCTCCAAATATGCTCGCCCTTTCAGCCGTGGGGGCGTTATAATGTGACGGTCAATCCCACTATTTGTTGGTACAAGAGTAACCCAAGAGTTGGCGGTGATGACTAGCTGCCTTCCCTATAGTCTTTCATTGCTAAATTAGGGACGGCTAGCGCAGATAGCCCTCGTGTAGCTTTGGGCGAATTTCAAAACAAATCAAACCCAACAATCCTTCCCTAAATATATGGGGCGTAGCTTAGCATGCGAGAGGTACCGGGATCGGTACCCGGCGCCTTCAATTTTTGAGGTATACGCTGAACCTGACCCTCCCTGGTTCAAAACATGGACCGAATCCTGATGAAGAAGAAGATATTATACCATTATACTTATACCTGACCAGCTAGGAACAACTTGAGGTCTTGTGATCCGGGTGTGATGGAACCAAACACTCCAGTTTGTTTTGGGGAATTATTGGTTGGGAGAACTATTATAGATTGAAATATAAGGCTGTCATCATTAGGGCCACCAACATAACAAACCATGAAATTATATTAAATTTTCCAAAATGTCAAGTTGTATAAGTAGTACTCCACACCAAAAAACGTCACAAATATTCATCTTAGAAAAAAGATGTTGAGAGTCTGGTGTTGAGTTTTTACATAAGAGGAGATTATCATCTCACTTACATCATCTGTGATCATCTTATAACTAATCAATGTCACAGATTACATAACTTGTAGATGTAATACCAAAATACGTTCTTTATCACACCTCATGACTTAAAAGACATAGAAACCATCAGGGAACAAGGTGTATTACAATTGAGTAATCGTGAGATAAAGAAATATGGATCCTCAATGTTTTCTTTAGACTACCAGAAACTGAACTATATATATATATATTACTAGTTTAATATAAGTATTGGGGAGTTAAAAAGTTCATACAATCATTGTATTCGAGTTTTAGATGTTAATTACAGAGATATTGCAAACGACACAACTGAAGTTAAGACTAAAAATATAACATTATATAACCTCAATACAAGAAGGATTGAAAAAAATAACGAACTTCGTAACTTATCACCAAATTTATCTAATAATACAATACTTTCAAACTGGTTAATCCTAACTCGTATGCTCTAACCGAGTTTAAAACAGTATCGAATCTAAGACTCCACATTCTCGAGCATCTAGTTTATTTGTCTTCATTTCTCTTTTATTTGCTACCGTATGATGAGATTACATTTCAATGTGGGACGATTATCAACACATCCGATCCCTTTATTTACGTAGAACGATTCAAAAATTTATGTGACCATAGTTACGGTGGCAAAGACCTTAGCGCCATCCAGTGTCAGTCATTTTACTTCAGTGTGGGAATAATGATACAATAATTCTGGCATCATGCATAAACAAACGCATAAGAAAGGAAGCTCTACTGAATGACAAAGGGAAAAGGGCATAAAATGTAAACATAACAATTAATAAAACTGAAAAATATCCCTTCATATTCCTACCCCTTATGTGAAGAAGATATGAATTTAATTACTTTGTACTTAAATCATAATTTTCCTGTACCGTGTTACTCAAACTGACAAAAGGCACATAATGTGACGTTATTAACATAACTTCACAATAATTCTGTTTGGTCCAGACAAAGTGAAGAAAAATATGTTGTTGTTT